ACCAGACTACACAGCGCAACAACCCAGAAGACAGAAATCTTCATACTCATCGCCCTGATGATGGAGGCAGTATGACCTCTGAAACGTTGGTTAACATCGACCAGACTACACAGCGCAACAACCCAGAAGACAGAAATCTTCATACTCATCGCCTGATGATGGAGGCAGTATGACCTCTGAAACGTTGGTTAACATCGACCAGACTACACAGCGCTACAACCCAGAAGACAGAAATCTTAGACCTCATAGCGGCGAAAACGTCAAATTCTATTTTTATACTATTCCTCTGGAGCTCTTTAATTTTGTCTTTCAGATGTTTCCTTCTTCTGTTTCCGACAGTGGTACCATCTTCAAGTATTAAGTTGTCCATATGACCTCCATTCATCTGGCATGACATTTGCATCCGCAGAAATTTAGCCTGTTTCATTTTATACAATAATTATTTATCAGGCCATCTTAACTAAATGCTGTATCGATTTGTCACTTAATGAACGCGTGCTACATGCTCCGCTCACCTCATCGTAACCTTTTATCCTTGACTGGATCACCCTAATAACACGTGAAATTGACTGAAAGACTGAAAAATCAATTGTAAATGTCTCAAAGACAAGTACAGCTGAAAAAACATTTATTTATTTCATAAAGTATATTTTATACACGCGTTCAAAATGTTTCATGTCACTTAAATTTTAACGCTCTTAAATTCAACAAAAGAATTAATGCCTGCAACAAATACCAACAGTTTTTTGTTCAAGGCCGTCAACAAAAGAAGACGGGCAATCAGAATCCTCGAAGTAGGAGGGCAGCGATTGTTAACGAGGTCGGAAGGAGTAATGTCCAGCCAGGACTGACAACATTACACGTGCACCTGAAAATACTAACTCTGGTTGCACCAGTATGATAATAGCAGTGGGCCACTGCTTCGTATTAAAACGAAGGACAGCAAAAACCTTTCTTCAGACACAAAGTACATAGTTAAAAGCTTTTAAATTCCAATTATCAGGCCACATTTAATAAGATCGTACAGGCTGATCGAGAAATCATTCAACCTATATTAAAATATTCACTGATGGTTGCAGTTCAATACAATTCGATTAGATTAACGCAATTATACAAGATCCCACGCAGGTCGCGCCAGTCCGTCGATTGTCTTTCAACAGCCGAAGTACGAGGGCGTCTTTTTAACAAGTGCAACG